TTTGCTTTTCTTACGAATACGTCCAGTGGGGTCTGCTCCACTTCTCACCAAATGCACGAAAGACATAGCATATGGCGGTGTATGGTTCCATGTTTTAGCAGAAGATTCATTCTACTAATATTATATACATTTGGTGAGTGGTGTAGGGAGACCCTGAGAATCACGTGGAGACACGAACAGGGTCTAGCTGAACTGGTGACCCATAACTGTCGAGCTACAGCCCTGAACTCGAATCCACAGCATATATTGGTGGTCTGCCCCCGTGTCTTTCGTGCATGACGAGGCCATCCTTCTCAGTGAAGCAGCGGCCCTTAATAGCTCCTCATGCGTTGTAGGAGCCATTTGTGGTACGTTGCAGGGGCTCTCGAATTGACATAAAGGGGATCCTTTTCTCTCTCTCTCTCTCTCTCTCTCTCTCTCTCTCTTGGGTCCTGTTTTTTTTTTTTTTTTTTTTTTTTTTTTTGTGAATAGCCCTTGCAATATCGCTCTATCCTGGCAGTGGTAAGAGAACCGTCAGAATTGAGGGCTTATCTGTCGGGCTGCTCCATCTATTGGTGGGGAGCGGCACCTACTGGACACCGGGTCCAGCGTCCCATTGATACATCTTGTAATACAGATATTACTGTTTGTTGTTTCCTAGGGTTGTGGTGATTGTTGTCTCAGCCCGGGTCTACATCAACAATGGTGTATCATTTATCGAAATTCCGAAAATAAAACTGCCTTGGTAAAGCATCAAAAGAGCACACAACCCCCGTGTCTTAATTACTAGGGGACTATGGTGATTGCCGGCCATTATGTTCATTTCAGGATTTTTTCTTTCATTGGACCCCAACATAGAATTGAACCGGCGGTCTTTGGTGCAATAGCCCGACGCATCAACCACTACGGCCATGACACGGTGTCTGAAAGTCGAGCCATACCAGACATGACATCAACCCCGCCTCTGCATGGCTGTAGTATTCAATTTGGCGGCTCACTCGCCCACATGACATCACTTGAAGAGTTTGATACCCCGCCTGTTGCAGCGGCACATGGGCCTTCCTCACGCTGATACCCGGTTTGGGTAGTACCGTCTTCCCCCAAAGATAACGCACGATGGTAATGAATGTATACAAGCTAGGTTTCTAGTCAAGTACAGTCAAAATCAGGGTGTGTTGTGTTCGAGGGAGGACGGTTGTTACTCGCCCCTTATGAGACCCCCATAAAGGGGTACACACATAGTGAATGGCATGTGAGGGGTCCGCCCATGGCCCTCTCACTCCAAAAATGCATGCAAAAACTAGCCGAGCCAGTTTTTTCCGCAACTGTGTAACCCAGCCTGATGGGGGCATGGGGCCTAGAGTTTTGGAAGAGAAAGGGCAGAGGGTGGTGATCCAGCCCTTCAAATCAATCCAGGACCTGGCTCTGGACCCAGAAGAATGGACATGGGAACCCCCCCAGCAGAGGGGAGGCCCCAAAGCAGGTCACATCAGCTTCCACCAGTTGTCGGTCAAATCAGCCTATAAAATGCTCAGACCTAAAAGACGGCTGAGAGACATAGTAAACGACTGATGGGCCAGACACCTAAATGTGGATCGCTCCCTTCTGACTCCAATTAAATGGTTCCAAGAACAGAAAGCAAAACCCATGAAAATCACATCCCTACAGTGGCAGATTGCCCACCGCTGTCTGCCAACAAATGACTGGTTGTCCGACTGTACTAATTTAGAACAAAAAGGTTTGCTGCTTCCGTGGTGCCAATGGTGTCAGAGCCTTTTCCCTTTCTACACGAAGGGGGAAACCATCGAACACATCTTCATGCAATGCCCGATCGCCCAATTCATATAGAGATGGTGGGATCGCATATGGAGAAAGATGGAATCTGCAATTCCCTGGCCCTGGTCTTGGCAAAACATATTGGTCGGCCATTGGCCACAAGCAGAAGCAGCCACGACCTTCGTAGAGAATATGTACAGACTTGGAAGGAGAGCGGTGATATGGGCACTTTGGTGGCAGAGATGCACGCTGGCGATGGAAAAGGTGAGAGTAGAGGAACCAGAAATCACCCAACAGATTCAGCATCAGGTACATTTCGAACTCACCCAAATGTGGCTAGACACAAAGCACAGTTAGACCTCTTTAAACAAGTAGGAGATGTTAGGAAACAGATCACAACATTTTGCACAGACTGGGTAGGAGGGAAGAGAGAAGGATGGATTGCAAGAGTAGAATGGAGCGGAGACAGGGGAGAGGGACATAGGGACTTGGAAGAGATGATAGACTACCGCCTAAGCTTCAAAGACTGGAAAAACATAGAACCCTCATTCCCACTTCGCCCCCCCCCCTGATTTTCCAGACCCTTTCCCACCCCATGCTCTTTCCCTGGTAGAGATCCTGTCCTGAATGATAAAATTGTGTAACCCATTCTTCTACACATTCTTACTCATACAAGGAACTCCTCCCTGGACCCCCCCGGGGAGGTTTTTCTTCTGCTAACAGCCATTTTTCCTTCTTTTCGCTGCTCAGTGAACCCCCCCTTCTACGGATTGGGGCAGTCAATGCTGGCAGCCTGAGCACTCTAAACAAGAAAGTATGGGGGACTGGGAGGGGGAGGGAGGAACTAGTGTGTATCAGTAGGTATCCGGCGCCGGGCTCAGGGTGAAGGAGTTCCCCCTTCCCTTCAAATATCCTGCTCAGTCAATCCCCTGGATCCCAGGGTAATCAATGCTGGCAGGGACCTCCCCCCGTATTTCTGATGTACTCTATATCCAATCTGTATATGGGACGCTGGACCTGTTTTCCAGCAGGTGATGCTCCCCACCAATAGATGGAGCCTCTCACTAGGTGCTAGTGGTGTCTGCTCTTATCAGCACCACTAACACTGGCGGGGCCATGTTAAACAAAAAAAAAAAAAAAGAGGTTTCTAAAATTCTGATACATAAGTTCCCGGATTCTAATCGGTTTTAGGCCTTCAACGCGGTGACTGAATCTGTGCGCCGCGGGGGTCCATATGCATTTGAATCATAGCCTCCCCAGAGGGGGCCTAAGACCCCCTGCTGGGGTACTGGTGGTTTACGCTTGTCCTGGTAGGATAGTAGTTGATCATGAAGCCTCTCTATGGGACTGCAGATAAGGCCAGAGGTGTGGTTCGCTGCCTTAAAGGGAGGGTGAGTGAGTTGGGGTCCACTGCAGTTCAGACCAGGCATCAGGGTGATAGTATATGCTGAACTCCTCCCTCCAAGGAAGTTCAATGAACCTAGACTGGACACACAAGTGGGAGTTGATGGCAAGAGTGGGGTAACTTGGACACCCCCCTACTGAAAGAGAATGTGGAAAGTTCTTCCAACTTCTTTCCCTTTGAAGAATGAACGTGGTTTCTCTTTGGACGTTTTTCTGTCTAGCTTCATAATTCTTAGCGAAAAGTATATAGGGAAGACTATTCAGGAACTGGACCAAATCCTGAAGCTCCCTAGAATAGAAAGAACCCACGATCAGCGGCACGTGGGCCTTCCTCTCGCGCAATTAGATAAGTGCACAATGCACAGACATCATCAGAAGGACACGCACAACTGAAAAAACACAGATACAGAAACGCGAAAGACGAAGTTCACACAACTTATCCCAGACGCAGTCATAGTCATCTCACTCGAGCACCCTAAGCTTCCCCTCCAACCCACTCATCTCACTTCAGCTCTGCCGAACAGACCCAGCAACGAAATTTATCCCTCCTCACAGCACGACCACAGACCCCCCCCCGGTTACCGCACACAACTACCCCCTCATTTCAATGCATCACCCCGAATCAGCCCAACACAGTCTGACAGGAGTATAACGAATAGGATTAAGGAAGGAGCCCCCCCGAGTGTTTACCGTTTTTAAATTAGCAGAAAACAGCTTAGGACAGACTGGCAGGAGTATAACCAAAAGAGTATAGAAGGGTACCCAGCGAGGGTTTAGGGTTTTAGCAGAAAGAAACAGGTGAGGCAGGATAGAGGAGGGGGTAGTTCGGATATAGAACACTCTGCTCAAGAGCCTGAAGAACAGCTGGCAGCTAGAAAAACTGAGAGGAGCACAGGAGGGTACAGACAACATAGAGAGCAAAGGGGATAGGCCCCAGATTTAGATATTACTATGGGTTAACTTAGGCAGGGGTGAGGATACGTATGTCGGAAGTAAAAAATCAATGCTTAAGAAAAAAAAATAAAAAATCAATGCCGCCCACTCGGGTCTACCTACCATAAAGAGGAGAAGCGTTTGTGTGAGTCCATGATGTATTTGCGACTTGCCAGTGGAATAGGAACCGGAATGACACTCCTCAGAATGGATATGGACATATTATGGAGCCAGATCCATAAGGCTGTGCGTGTTTTATTTATTTTTTTAGAAAAAAAGGGGGAAAAAAACAAGGGGACACATATTTAGACTCACACAATTGGCAGGACAGAGTTCTTCTTTTTTCCCTTTTTTTCCCTTTTTTCCCTTCTTTTTTTTTTTTTTTTTTTTTTTTTTTTTTTTTTTTTTTTTTTTTTTTTTTTTTTTTTTTTAAAAACAAAAAAACAGAGCCTTATGGCTCTGGCTCCATTCATCATCAGCAGGACTCACATATCACCAACCAAAAAAAAAATTCTCTTTTTTTTTTTTTTTTTTTTTTTTTTTTTTTTTTTTTTTTTTTTTTTTTGAAAAACAAAAAAACAGAGCCTTATGGCTCTGGCTCCATACATCATCAGCAGGACACACATAACAACAACCAAAAAAAAAAAACACCAAAACGGACTCGGACTCCGAATTTCCGAAATCTTTAGCAAACACATCAAAGCTAGCAACATTCTCAGACAACTGCATAGCTCTCAGTCTGTAGCTGCACCATTCATTGTATGTTCCTCTTTCAAAAGGGCGGTAGATCGACGGGAAAAGAGTTAAAAAAAAACATCCAAAATGCCATCCATCCATGTGCATATGAGTGACCTACAGTAGTTAGGGTTGTCTCCATCTTCCCATCCGCTCCATCCAGATGCGGATCATGCACCATGCACCTTTCATTCAGCAGATGCAGACCGCCAGAGCCTGTTTTAGACTCTAGAAAACTCGTTCGGATTCGCTTCGAACTTTTGAGTCTTGACGTTGTATAGTACGGGCTGAAACCGGAGTCGGAGTTTTCGGCGGCGGAAGCCGTCATCATTGATTGATGCCTGTCAGTTTTTTTTTTTTTTTAATTAGAATGAAATGAATAAATTCGCCCTCCCATATAGTAACCTATGCTAGGTAGGATGCTGGAAAAAAAAAGACATCACCTTGATACAGTCGTTTTCTTCGGGCATAACGAAGCAGCGACACATGTTTTCGCCGGAGTAGTCTCCTCTTTGGAGCTTCTGTTTTCCATGCGTCAAAGACACGGGACTTGGATTTTCCCTCATGGTGTAAGATTGCTTTCCACTCCTGGAAGAAAGACAGGACAAAACACAGTGGGAAAGTGATTAGGATGAGAAAAAAAAAAAAAAAAAAAAAAAGAAGAGCAGGGTGAGGAGAAGATGGTGGTTGGTGTTGGACCTGGGTCATTGCTCTGAAGCAAAAAAAAAAGATGGGCGACCAATTTTGTATCATCGAGCCGCAGAATGCGATCGTCTGCCTTATTGTGAGAAATACATGAAGAGTGTTAATAACTGAAAACAGTGAAAAGTATCAAACAAGAAAACGAACACAATCTGTGAGACAAAATCTGAATTTTGAAATGAAATAATGTAGCAAATTAGCAATGCGGTATATTTAACAATTACTTCTGAAATTTAAATTGCCATATAAGTCGCAACTGAAATGTTGATCACATGGCACTTGTCAGGATCAGGTGTTTCTGCCCATTTCACTTTCGAGGGAAAAGGAGAGGGAGGACGACCGAGGAGGATGGACTAGTACGGAGGAGGATGGAGGAGAAAGGAGAGGAGAGAAAGGGAGAGAGGCTGAGGGACGAGGAGGATGAATACAGAGGAGGATCCAGGAGAACGGAGAGGAGAAAAAGAAAGGGAGGCGGTAGTGTAGGGAAGAGGAGGGAGGAGGGAGGAGGGAGGAGGGAGGAAGGAGGAGGAAGGAGGAGGAAGGAGGAGGGCGGAGGGAGGAGGGAGGAGGGAGGAGGGAGGAAAAGGGAGGAGACGGAAAGAGGAACGCAGAGGACAGGAATAAAGGCATACTGAACACTTGATTGTTTCTGCTTTCTGCTCAGGAGGAAAGGAGGACCGGTACGTGACTGTGGATGGTGTTTGTTCCTTGCTATTCCATGGCTGATGCTATAACTTCGGTCCCGCTTCCGTCTACTTCTATTCAGCAACTGATGCTGCAAGCTACCGTCTTCCCCCGAACATAACGCACCCTTAAAATGAATGTGTACAAGTTGTATTTCCGGCCAGATACAGCCAAAATGAGGGTGCGTTGTGTTCGGGGAAGACGGTAGTCAGCTGCTTTCTATTCTGTTACCGATGCTATAATTACATCCCGGCCAGCGTCTCCTACTGAACATCAGCCAGAAAATTCGAAGGTTCTAGATTTCAGAATTAAAAAAAAAAAAAAAAAAAAAGAACAAAACAAACTTTCTTGGCCTTTTGGCTAAAAATAGATCAAGTGTAGTATCTGTGCTGATCATGAGTTTAATATCTGATCAGTTTTGGTCAGAAGTAAGAAGAAGAAGAAGAAGATGAAGAAGAAGAAGAAGAAGAAGAAGCTCCTAGCACTACGGATGGGAGTTGTTCAGTTGGTACAGCCATGAATTGTTGAAATGAAGATGTGAGTTCGAATCTACATGGAACAAGATGAATAAAAAACAAAAAAAGAATCTCCTAGCACTTACAAGTTACATCAGATTTGCTATAAAAATAGATATATTATAGCTTCCTCTCACAATCAAGGGGATGCATATTGCCTCCTGCTCTAATTGGCGGTGATCAGGGGACGGCTAACACAAAGATCGAGCATTTTGCCAGTAGGTGAGCCTCCCATCTACTGCCCCTGCCCCCATCAAGTAACAGCAGTGTCTATGGCCCGCAATCTCTCTCTCTCTCTCTCTCTCTCTCTCTCTCTCTCTCTCTCTCTCTCTCTCTCTCTCTCTCTCTCTCTCTCTCTCTCTCTCTCTCTCTCTCACACACACACACCCAGACACACACCCACACACCCAGACACCCACAGGAGGTCAACCTCCTGATGGGTCGCTGAAAGTTGGACGAAACAGTCTGGCACAGATGGTTTTTCTGTTTTTCTGTTGTTTTTTTTTTCTGTGGGGACACGCACCCAGGATGCCAGAGGGCCTACCAATACCCACGGGGGGAAGGTAGCCAATCATCTCAGTGGTTGGCACCAAGCGTTAGTCAGTGAGGATTGAACTGACGACATCCTGAATGCCACTTGTGTGCCTAACCAACTGAGCTAGGCCGCTGCTCAAGTAGGCCGCTTGCTCCGCTACTACCGTAGGCCGCTTGACTGTCTGCCACCCGTTGTAGGCCCTGAGCTTGGACAATTTTTTTTTTAATTCGAAGTTCAAACTAATTCAAAATTCATAAACCGTTTTGCAAAAAATAATAATAATAATAAATAAATAAAAATGCTTCCACTGTTGTAATCTTTTTTTTTTTTTTTTTTAATCTTTCTGGCTGCTTGCCANAAAAAAAAAAAAAAAAAAAAAAAAAAAAGTTGATCTCAGAGAACTCCTTTTTCTTTTTTTCCCTTTATTAACACTTTGGAGAAGTTTGGACTCTTCTTTGCCACAACCAAGGGCCCATTGTGTCATGGTTCCATTGACTCCACAGGTATCTCATGCCCATGCCCATCGAATCAACAACAACGTAAAATTGTCAGTTGCTCCTGCCAACCATTGTGTCATTAAAACAATGAAGCAGCAGAATTCTGTCTCTCTTGTTCTCTCTCTCTCTCTCTCTCTCTCTCTCTCTCTCTCTCTCTCTCTCTCTCTCTCTCTCTCTCTCTCTCTCTCTCTCTCTCTCTTGTTGGGTGTTACTTTAGGGGGTAAGGATTGTATAAGTGGAGGCCCCTCTTTCCCAAAATCCACGGCCTTCTGGCCATTGCTCCATTAGTCATACTGTCTTTCATCAATGAGTCATCATCATCATCGACATCATCATCATCATCATCATCATCATCATCATCGTCGAATCAACAACAAAGTAGTCATCATCACTGACAAGTTTGCCACTATCCATCATTTAAACATACGCAGCAGAATTTGATGGGTTTTACTTCAGGAAGTGTTACAAAAAAAAAAAAGAAAAAAAAAAAGGAAGGTATCCTGCTGGTGAGAAGGGCTAGCTAGTAGGATGGAATTTGGGTGTCGCAGCAGCAGTGTGGGTGGGTCTGCTGTCATAAGTCGTGCCGGACGAAGGAAAGGGGGCAAAGGTGGATAGTGGTTGTTTGTTCTCCATCTGATTGATTGTATCGATTTGGTGAGCAGGAAGGGGAAGGGTTGGTCCTAGGGAGTGCTGTTGGTGTTCAGGGTGGTAGGTCTGATTAGAAGGGCGGGGTGGGGCGACAATGGTCGGTGCTGGAGCAGTTGCTCTGTAACCAGGGGGAGCTCGAGACTATTGGAGTTATGCTGAGGTTGGAAGGCATAACCATCCTGTTTCAACGTAGCTGATGCCGGGGCAGTGACCCTGTACCCTGTAACCTTCGGGGTATTTACAGCTAAGGAAGTTGTCGAGGGAGGAAGACACTTCCTGTCCGTCAGAACTAGCTCGGTTGGCACTGGGGCAGTGGGCGTTGCTCTGTCACTCTAGCAGGAGGGGTATGAGATCTAGCGATTGCTGATACGAGGACTTTTTTTTTTTTTTTTTTTTTTTTTTATTGGTGGGGAGCAGCACCTGCTGCAAAACGGGAGTGCTGGTACAAGGACTGAATGCCTGGGCAGCAGTCTTTTCTCTGTGGTGCGGGGAAAGAGCCGGATTGTTGGGGGTTTTCGTCTTCTTGCTTCCTGTTTTAGGTTTATCAGACTGTTTCTTGTATGTTCTCAATCCAGTTCTCACGAAATCCATCGCACACATTGCACCGTCTTCTGATGCTTTTCTGAGCATATTTTCGATGGGACGCTGGGCCCGGTTCCCAGGTTGTGCCAACTTGTCGGGATATGGTTGACAATGTGTGTATGGGACGCTGGACCCGGTTTCCAGCAGGTGTTGCACCCCACCAATAGATGGAGCTTGTGTGTTTAAAAAAAAAAAAAAAAAGGATAAGTGGATGTTGTTGGAAGGCACAGTGGTTACGAATCAACTTGATAAGATACTTGGCTGAGGGTGCCGGTTCAATTCCGTGCCATACACGGATGGTGGACCTAAGGCCAGAAAGTCTGGATCCTACCTTGGACGCGATGACGTTCTGGTTCTGAGTATGTTTCTGTCTTGCGTCTTGGCTACGCCTTTGAGAATTCAGAGGGTGCAGTACAGGCCCTACAGGGGGGGGAGTCGGATTATCAGGGCTTTGACTATCGCTTCCTCCATCATCGCAAGAATGTGCACCCTGCGCCTCATAACCAGAAGCATGGCCCGTTTGCTCTTCTTCAGACTCACTTGCGTCTTCTTGTTGTAGGCCTGCATCTCCACGCCGCCTTCTTTCTCCTCCTCCTCGTCCCCTTCTTTCTCCTCCTCCTCCTCGACCTCCTCCTTCCTCTTCTCCTCCTCCCTCCTCTTCTCCTCCTCCTCTTCCTCCTCCTCCTCCTCCTCCTCCTCCTCCTCCTCCTCCTGCTCTTTGTGACTGGTTTCCCCAAGCTGAAGGCGTTTGCGCGCCTGATGTGTCTGAGTCTATGACCGACCTCCTTGATGGCCAGAGCCACCTGGGTATTGAGGACGGGGGGACCACAATTTTCTCAAGAAGGCATTGTGCCGCTCGAGTTTCGACGAGATCCTCGCCGTAGGAAACCAACTCGGACGGCATGGATCCTTCAGGAATGTCACCCACCAGCAAAGCCATTCGCCATGCCACAAACACTCTTACCAGTAGCTCTCTCGCTTCTCGAACCCAGCATCTTGCTGCCATAGCTCCTGCTGCCTTCATCCTCCTCGTTCGCTCCTTCCATCTCCCAAAAGCCAAAGGCAGCACCCTCTTACTGAACGATTCGATCCGCATGTTGCTAAGCTTAATCTTCCTCTTCCGCTGTCTCGTGATCAGCTCCCATGCCCTCAATGTCCGCCTCAACATCTGGTTTTGCCTCCATGCCACAACCGACAACGAAGCCTTCCTCATAGCTGTCTTCTTGCAAGCATACCTTGCCCATCTATGAAATGCTTGGGAACCGTAGATTCTGCCGATCCGATGCTGGGTTCGTTTAATCATGTAACCAATGCTTCGCCTCTCCCTCACCACTGCTACCCAACCCCGAAAGGCCCATGCTTTCATGAGCGCCATTCGTCGCTGGCTCAGCAGTGTTGACTTCTCCCTCAGTGTCCTCTTGATGAATGCCACTTCCCTCCATCCTGCCAGAACTCTCGTCTTCAACCGCCTCTCGGCATGCTCAATGGCCTTGACGGCAACCCTAATCTTCCCTCTCATCAGCTTCATTGCCTCTCTCCATCCCCACCAAGCTCTCTCGCATATCTTCCTCCTGGGAAAACCCTCGGCTTCCACAGCCATCTTCTCCTTCCGCTTCTTTCGCTCCGTAAACACCACCCACTTCACCCATACCGTCTTCCTAACCTTCTGGTGACGAATGTCTAATCTGTGACTCAACAACTGGTTGAACCACTTATTCTCTGAAACGACTGCGTGCCACCCTTTGAACGCCGACCGCATCCTCCGCACCAAGCACGCATTGACAAACACCAGCTCCAGGCCCCGGTGCACGGGCAACTCATGCCGCCACACCAACCAAGCCCTCCATGCATATCTCAAGCGTCCCAGCCTCAACGTCAGCTGCTCATTCTCGAATGCCAGCTTTCTTGTCACCATCATCAAAAACTTGTTCCCCTCTTGATTCTGATCATTTCGCGATTTCTGCACCCATAGTTTTCAGAAAAGTCAGCCTTTGCAGAGAATGGCCTGTTTGGCGTTCGCACCTTTTTTTTGTGTGTTACTAAACCGCCAGTACGTTTCCCAGGTTTTTTTTTTTTCAAAGGTGCGGCTTGCATGCTGCAGCAACTTTCAGGGGTCGACAGCCAGAGCAGAATGGATGGCGGCACCAGCGGAAAAACGAGGCCCGCGCCAATCCGTTTTTCTCTGGCACTTAGGGTGCTTGGAGCCCCGGGCGAAAGTGCCCCGGAAGTACTCATAAACAATATGCACGGACGAGGATCCAATCTTAGGGGCTGCTGCCACAGCGACCAAAAGCACCTTGTGGCTAGTAAAGCCAATTGTGTTCTTGGGATTGCTACCAACCCTCCTAGCCATTCTACACGCGCGCACAAAAAAAAAGTGTTGTTGACATCCTCTTTTTCTTGTTTTTTCTTTTTTTCTTCTTGCGGGGTATCCAAATTGATTTTTTTTTGGGTATAAATTTAGCATCAGTTACTGTTACCCACACTGCCTGAATGGACGAGATATGAATGTGTTGCTGTATGCTATAGATTACTCCCTCCCCGTCTATCCTAGATTCCTAACCCTTCAATAACCAAGGTACACCTATTCCCACCTTAATGTCCATAGTATTATCCCCTTTCCAAAGAGAACAGGTTTGCCTGTAAGGAGTTTTGGTACCGGTCAGGCCAGTAGTCGCAGACAATGGCTTGCCAATCTCATAGCCATGGTTCATCATTTAGCATATCATATTCGAATTCTATCCCACAAGGGAATAGCCCCAGGAAAATGCAAAAGATATGCTCCATCATGTCATTGGACTTTGAAGATGGGATGTCGATCATGCAAGTTTTGCACCAGGAAGTACTTTTGCTCTTTGTTACAAATTAGTGTGGTCAATTAAACCACCGGTACCTTTCCCAGCTATTTTGAAGAGATACGGCTTGTTAACGGCTGCGTCGTTCAGGGCCAGACCGCCGTTGATAAATTTCATCGGCGGCCGTTGTCGCATTTGCAGGCCTCCAAAAGTCATGGTGACGGGCCTCCGGCCGATGTGTGGGCGAGGTACTGGTGGTTTAATCACCCATTTGTTGGAAGACATTTGCGCTCTAACTGCCATTGAAGAAACGGGTTCCGTCTTCCTGTAAACATGTTTCTTAAACCACCAGTACCTCTCCCTGCTTGAAGAATTCGACGCGGCCCTTAACGCGCCGCGTCGCCACGGGGCACCCACCAGCGTGCGACCGGTAGTCCCCAAAAAACGGGGCCCTCTCTCTCTCTCTCTCTCTCTCTCTCTCTCTCTCTCTCTCTCTCTCTCTCTCTCTCTCTCTCT